ATAGGCCCAGCTCACTATTATTTACTCCCCATTGCTAACCGCCACATTGTCTCAGGATCTTGTTTCTCTAGTTTCTACAAAAGGTTTAAGATTAACCCGTGTTCCTCCTTGGAGGGTAGAAAACAAATGATAATGATCTAAGGATGAAAACCCAACAAAGCACCCATCTTATGACAAGAAAAACCAGGATGTCACCAGATAATCCCCAAGGATGTCACCAGATAACCCCCAAGAATACCAGTAAAAGATTAACTCATCTGAGACATGACCACCTCAAAGGGAAACTAACACAAACTTCTAACACCCATAATCCTGTCCCTATAAAAGCCTTCAGCCGATCTCCAATGGGGGAGACGGGTTTTTTTGAGGAATCTATTCCCCCGTCTCCTATATATTGATATATAATAAACCTCTTGCTGCTCACCTCATCCATCTTGGAATTGGCTATTGCAGCAGGCGGCTCCAATCCGCATTATTGCAGTGATACCTGTGTGGAGAAGCGCCTAGTCCAGCGGAAGATTGATGAGAAGGCCGACAGAGACAGAAAGCCTTCGCCTGGAGTTGATGCCCTGTATTTGGACTTCTAGTCTACTTTACTGTGAGGAAATAAACTTTTGTTAAAGCCATCCATTTGTGGTATTTCTTTCTTTCTTTTTGATTTTTTTACTGTACTTTAGTACACATATTGTTTTATGACATTGGTTAACAACCCCACAACATGTCAACCCTCTCCCTTCTTGACCTTCTTTTTTTTTTTTTTTTTGGTGAAAATATACATAGCCAAAGATACACATTTTCAAAAATTTCCACGTGCACAATTCAGTGACATCAACTACACTCTTCCAGTTGGGCTGCTATTCTCACTTTAGATGAAGGTTTACAGAACAAAATAGTTTCTCGTTAAACAATATACATGCTGCCCTATGACAATGGTTAACAACCCCACTACACGTCAACACTGTCCTTAATCAACCTCGGGTCCCCTGTCACCAGCTTTCCTGTCCCCTTCTGCCTTCTATTCCTTGTCCCTGGACTGCTATGCCTCATTAGTCCTGTTTTGTTTTATGGGGCTGTCCAATCCCCGGCTGAACGGTGAACCTCGGAAGTGACTTCACCATTGAGCTAAAAGGGTGTCTGGGGGCCATACTCTCAGGGTTTCTCCAGTCTGTTTTAGGCCAGTAAATCTGGTCTTCTTTTTGTGAGTTAGAATTTTGTTCTACATCCTTCTCCAGCTCTGTCCAGAACCCTCTGTTGTGATCCTGGTCAGAGCAGTCAGTGGTGGTAGCCGGGCACCATCTAGCCGTACTGGAGCAAAGTAACATCTTGATGATTCTGGGTCCTCCTCTATAAAAAGACCTTCCTCACAGAGTTTCTGTGAAGATAAAATGAGATGATCCTTACAAGGATATTAGCATATCCTTGACACACAGTTTGCCCTCAGTCAACAACGTCTCTTTTTTAATGGCTTCCAGGTGGGACAAGGGGGCTGCAAGCACTTGGCAGGCTACTCTGCTCAGGTCAAACTTGGGGCTACTGGAGTGTAGATGGAGAACTTTCTTGGATACCAACTGAAAGGAAATCTCTGACCATAAGACTGAGCACCAAGCTGTTTCCCATGAAGCAGAGGAGGTCAAATATACTCCCATTCCCCATTCTGTCACCACTTTAACACTAGCCATTCTCTACAGAAAACTCTTTCTCTGCTGGGTTTGAGAATTCACTGCAGTGGTCCTAGAGAACTCAGGGAAACAACATACGTGAAATAACAGCTTTAAGAAAAGTGAAGGATATAAACAGAGAGGAATGGATGCAAAGGGCAATGTTTGGGTGGGGTCCCAGCACAGGGTCTTTGGTGTCTAAAAGGAGACCTGCTTATCCCTCAAAGGGGACCTGCTTTCCCTGACTGAAAACCAATATTCACTCTCCTCTCTCAGGAAACGTTCACACAGGAAACTCAATGACGTGACTTGGCAGCATCTGCCATTAGTTGCTCCTCTCACCTCTTGGCCATAGTTTGCTCTCACACTTTGCTGCCATTGTCTGAGTCTGCTCCTTGTCTCTGCTTCTTCAAGTACTGTCACTGTTGCTGCCTCTGTTGCCGTCACAGGTTGATTCGGTCTCACTTGTGGTATTTCTGTTATAGCAGCACTGGATGACTAAGACACCTTCTAAAGTCCAAGGTCTTCTGAGACTGAACACGAGCTGTTGGTAGCATTTATAGTAGACTCTCTTAGCAAAGGCTGAAGTCTATTTATGGGTTTTGATCAACACTGAGTATATTACAAATTGTAAATACATCCATGTAAGGGATCTGTATGAACTGTTTTCTATTCATGACCACCAGTCAGCTTGATTTTATGGGTTTATTTCATATCTGTGTCTCTATCTACACCCCAAGGTAAGGAAGACAAGAGACACCAAGCTACTTGGTGCTCTTGAGGGTAAACAAGTAGTTCTGCACTATGTGAGCTACTGTAAGAAATACTACAATGAATCAGACAATACGACTGCGCCCCACCCCCAGGAAAATGGAATTGAAAACTATATTGAAGAGGAAAAAAACAAAAAAACAAACTAGTCACTGCCGAGTCGATTCTGACTCACAGCGACCCCACAGGACAGAGTAGAACTGCCCCATGGGGTTTCCAAGGCTGTAAGTCGTTACGGAAGGGGTCTGCTTTCTACCGCAGAGCGGCTGGTGGGTTCCAACCAACTACGTTTCAGTTCGCAGCAGAGTGTTTAACCCACTGCGCCAGCAGGGCTCCTCGTATGGAAAAGAATATAAACAAAAAACCCCTTGCCGCCAAGTCAATTCTGACTCATAGCAACCGTACAGGACAGAGTAGAACTGCCCCACAAGGTTTCCAAGGAGCAGCTGGTGGATTCGAACCGCTGACCTTTCGATTAGCAGCGGTAGCTCTCAATCACTGCACCACCAGGGCTCCCACTTAGGAGAAGACAACCAGAAGTGTAGGGGAGAGGGTTAAGGAAGGGCATGAGAGAACAGCTGCCCTTTATGCCTGATGATCTTCAGTCCCGGCTGCTCTGGGATTCAAGCACCCCTCCTGGCAGCCCTGCCTTCTCTCTCAAACTGTCTCAAAATGCTATTCCTCTCCCCAGTTAATACTGTAGACTTAAAACATATCTGGTGCTCTTTTCCAGCTGACAAGGCAAAGTTAATGGGGAAGGACTGAAGGCCAAAATCTCTAATACATCCTGGTTCTTGGAATTCCATAGATATCAAGAGCTTACACAAAGGTACAAAAGCCTCTCAGGACAGAGAGTCATGTGGCAAAGAGATAAATCTCTACTGATAATGGTTCCTTCAGTCCACAGCCAGCCCCACCATTACCATGTGGGTGGTTACAGCGCTAGGTTGGTGGAAAAAGTTTAAAGTGTGCTGGGGATAAGTGATTCTAGCAACCCATTAGACTCTTAAGGCTTCACCTCGAGATGAACTAGGGCAGCAGTGTGACGGTAAATGTTTACTGAAGGGAGAGAGGTGGGATAGCTCTGAGGTGTGAATATACTCCCATAGTGTCCAACTGAATCTACCAAGGTGATGTCACTGAACACGGAGGTGGAAAGTCATGCGCAGCAGCATATGCGTCAGAGTATTCCCACCACATACAACAGACGTCAATAGACTCAGGTGCACACGTAATAACATCATGTAGTAGAAAAGAAGAAGTGGTCATTTTTTAGTATCTATTACCTTCGGTGTCTTCAACGTAATTTAATGGTAAATTTATGTAATTTAGTTTTTTCCTAATGCCAGTGTATAAGAACTGGATAACAAAATTCTTAACATTTTAACAATTGGATTCTATGAGAGGGTATGAGCACTTCCCTGGCTTAGGGGCACTTTCCTTGGAAGTGGATAACATCTCTCACTTCTAACTTCTTGACTCCATCCATAACTGAAAGAGAATAGTAAAACTTGAAATACATTCTCTTTGGTACTCACAACAACCCTAGCATTTCACAGATGAAGAAACAGAAGCCAGGAGAGATTAAAGAGTCTGTAAAAGATGATAGTCAGTGATGGAGGGGGAGTTTGAGCCGAGGTCTGACTCCGAAGCCAGGGATGGACACTTAGAAGTCAACCCACACACCCTACCAACGTTCCCACCATTCCTGTTTGAAAAAAGTCTGGTTTAGGGGCTTTGACTCTGCCTGGAGCCGTAAGGTCCTGTCTAATAATCTGAGTCCGTGGGTGGCACCAACGGTTAAGCGCTGGGTTACTAACCAAAAGGCTAGTGGCTCACTCACCCTAGAGGCGCCTCAGAAGAAAGGCCTGGCGATCACTTCTGTACCGACACACATGGGATCACTCCGAATGGACTAGATGGCCATAGTTTTGTTTTGCTGTTGTTTTTGGTTCAATACGCGTATGGCGCGAGGCGGGGGGTGAGGAGAACGACAAGAAAGTGCCGTATTAATTGCATAAAAGTTCTTTGCACCAAGAAGACGCTCAATATACAGTCCAATACCAGGGGCTTGTCCATGGCCTACAAGAACACTTTACTCACGCAATTTCCATTTTCTGCGCTCCTACCCGCACGAGGAACGTTGGTCTTCTGCGGGAGGCAGAAGGCCTTACAACAAGAAAGCAGTGAATGCCGCCTGCTGGAGACGAGAAGGGTAACCCCCGCCATTCGCAGCGCGCAGGCTCACGGCCATGCGGACGCGGCTGGAGCGGGGCCCGTGACTTAGGGCTAGGCGGGAGGCTGGAGGCGGGAGGCGGGGCGCGGGGCGCGGGGCGCGGCCCGGGCCTTCCGGTCTCCCCGTGCGTCCAGGGAGGCCGCCACGCGCAGACCCCGCTCGCCCAGCGCCAGCCGCCCTCTTGCGGCGTTTGCTCTCCCGGAAGTGGTCCCGGGCCACCCACCACGGCGGAAGGTACCGGAAGGGCCTAAAGCAAAGACGCTAAAACCAAACCCACTGCCTTAGCGTCATTCCGACTCATAGCTTGCGACCTATAAAACCGAGTATTACTGCGCTGTAGGGTTTCCAAGGCTGTAACCTTTACGCAAGCAGACTGCTACAGTTTTCTCCCTCAGAGCAGCTGGTGGGTTCGAACCGCCGGCGGAACGGTTAGCAGCTCAGCAGCCGAGCTTTTTAACCCCTGGGCCGCCCTGGAGAAGGTCTACCCGGACGAAAAAGCCGAGGCCAGAAGTTAGTCCAAAGGCGGCGCCCTCCGTACCTCCCTCCCCCGACACGCCGGCAGCCTTCTCACCTCGCGACCCGCCGCCTTTGGGGACCCGCGGCCCGGCGTAGCGGCTCCGCCCCCGCCTGCCTCCAGGTTGACGGAGTCTCCGGGGTTGACGCGGGTGAGCAGGCGGGTGGGTGAACGAATTTGCCTTTTCGGCGGCGAAGGAGAGAGGCGGCCGCCCGTACGCCACCGGCGGGGAGTGCGGAGTCCCGCGGCGCCCTCGGACCCATGCTGCGAAGCTGCGCCGCGCGCCTGCGTCCGCTCCTCGTGGCGCACGGCCGGCCGGGAGGCGCGCGCCTGACGGTGAGAGACCGGGGAAGTGAGGTGCGTCCGGGGTGCCGACTGCCCGCCTGCGGGTGACCGGGCGAAGCGGAGTGGGCCCCGGGGTGCGGAGGGCCCGCCTGTGGGTGACCCTGGGAAGCGGGGTGGGCCCCGGGGTGCGGAGGGCCCGCCTGTGGGTGACCCTGGG